ATTCGTTTGAACTTTCATTATATTTTTTTCCTAAACTGCTCGTTCACTTATTTATTCATTGACTTTTATTTTCCTCCATTCATCTATCCGTTGGTCACGTGTCAGTTGAAAATTTAACACGCGCACGCATGCACACATTCACACACACACACACACAAACGTCCACCAATAACTCTATCAACAAACACTCGCACAGAAACAAGTTAATCACACAAACGAATCTACAGGCACATATTTACGAAAGCAAATGTGAACACACACACAAAAAAACACAAACCACAAACACATAAACAAACACACACACACAAGCAGAGACAAACAAACATCCTCCATGGAATATCTCCATCTGACAGGTAGCCTTACAATAATTCCTCGCAAAAGATCCTCCTATCAAGCAAACACCCGGCCACATAAACACAAACACACAGACACACACAGACACACACAGACACACACAGACACACACACACACAAATACTCACAAACATATACATTCATAGGCAAATTCTCACAAGCATACACACATAGACAAACACACGCATACACTAACAAAAACACAAGCAGGACAAACACATGGATGAGAACACACCAACACACGCGCGCGCACACGCACACAAACACACACAAGCAAGTACTCATCATGAAAACACATTAAAAAAAATTTTATTATTCGAACACAAAGTGAACGAACGCGCAAACAAAATCAGAGCAACAAATGAATATATAAATAAACGAACGGGCGAACAGATGAATTGATAAACACAATAAATGTTATATGTGTGGGGTGTGTATGTATGTGCATGCTTTTGCGTGTGCGTGTGTGTATGTATGTGTGTGTGTGCGTGCGTGTGTGATGTGCGTGTGTTTGAAGTCTTGTTGAAATATGCAATGCATCAATTAAATGTTGATGTATTTTTCCTCTGCGTTCGGATTGAAGACATGTTTATTATGTAATGCTGGCGTTCCAGATGATGCTGATGTTGTTGTTGTCGATGTTGATGTTGTTATTTATGTTTATGTTGATGTTGTTGTTTATGTTGATGTTGGTGTTTATGTTGATGTTGTTGTTTATGTTGATGTTGGTGTTATTGATGTTGATGTGGTTGTTTATGTTGATGTTGGTGTTTATGTTGATGTTGGTGTTTATGTTTATGTTGATGTTGTTGTTTATGTTGATGTTGGTGTTGTTGATGTTGATGTTGATGTTGTTGTTTATGTTGATGTTGTTGTTTATGTTGATGTTGATGTTGTTGTTTATGTTTATGTTGTTGTTTATGTTGATGTTGGTGTTTATGTTGATGCTGTTGTTTATGTTGATGTTGTTGT